GGGTGGGGTGGGGTGGTGGCTTTCAAAAGTTCCATGGAAAAATTCCAAAATCTTCCAATTCCATGTTTCCACAAGCGTTTGAAGCTGCCTCACATGTTTACATATTCATTCTAGCTTGTAATTTAATTTACCCCGTAGTGTGTTTTCCAATGGCCTACGTAGTCATCATTTCTCAAGCATCTTGTTTTGTCACACAGTGATCGTTGTTTAAGCTTTCTTTTATGCTGTCACACTTTCTGTATCTCCACACTTTGTGACGTTAAAATCTTTGGCATACGTGAGTCACGTGGGTTGCTGTCTCGTTTTATGATTTCCCTTTTATGAGCTTCTTTAATGCTTGCTTTTTTTTAATACCCTACCTTATCCCACAAGCGTTTAAAGCGCGTTCTTTCCTTTCCCTTTATAGACGTGTAATTTCCTTTGTCTGTGTAAGCGGTTTTGAATGCAAGTGTCATTTAAACTTTTAAACGGCGGCTAGCCACTTTTGTGTTTGCAGTCGAGGTGAGCATCCATGTCATCATTTGTCACCTGTTTTCTTCGCACGTGCAGCTCAGTGTCCTCATCGTGCTGTGCTGCGTTATCGCGCTACATTTCCAAATGGTCCCATCACCCGTAACGTCGCTCAGTGTCCCTTAAAGCAACGACTCCCCCTCCCCCCTCGCCCCCCTCCTCTGTTTCTGGGATCACTACTGAGCCTAAGTCAGTCGATACATGCCTCTTCTAGATAGTCTGTATACATGGAGGCATGTCCTATCTGTGCTTTTGTGACTGATGTATGTCACACAGCCTCGTGTTTTCAGCAATGGGCTCAAGTGTACGAGCCATTGGGAGGGTGGCACAGAACCGGTCTGTTGCGCACCGGGTCACTATGGGTCAGAGCCGACTGGATGGTGCCCACCAACAACAGCCGCGTGTTCCAGGTTCCTCTGGGATGCAGCCCGCAGGGTTGGTTACTTTGATCATCCACGCGGCGTCTGTAATCATCAGTGTACCAGCCACTCTCTGCTGTCAAAACAGCGATGCATTTCCCCATAGCTTCCTGTGCTCTTTCTGTCTTCTCTTGTTCCTGCCCTGGTTAGTTTAACTCAAGGACTATATATCCAGGCCCCGCTATGT